GAGCCAAACAAGTTTTGGCTCAATGGGATTTTTTAAAAAATGTTTTGTTGTTGATTTCAGAGAGGAAGAGAGATAGAAACATCAAGGATCCCCTCTCATCGATTGGCTGCCTCCTGCACGTCTGACTGAGCCCACAACCCAGGCATGTGACTTTGATGGAAATCAAACACAGGACCCTTCAGTCTGCAGGCTGATGCTCTACCCACCGAGCAAAACTGGCTAGAGCTCAATAGGATTTTTTTGTGTGCTATGCACACAAGATCGTTAGCTGCATCTCCATCGTCTACCCACTAGAGACCAGACGCATTTCAGCTGTCCAGCAACAACGTCTCCGAAAATGAACAATTTCTCCAGTTGAGAACCAATGACTGACCTGACCTAAAACCTGTTGTCAAGCACTTCTGCAACAATCAATGGGATTTTTAGTGTTTGCTATTTTCTTCCTTTTTAAAATATATTTTATTTTTTTTTTAGAGAGGGAGAGAGATAGTTAGAAACATAGATCAGCTGCCTCTTACACACTCCCTACCGGGGATGTGCACACAACCAAGGTACATGCCCTTAACCAGAATCAAACCTGGTACCCTTCAGTCCGCAGGCCGACGCTCTATCCACTGAGCCAAACCGGTTTTGGCACTATTTTTTTTTTTTTTCCTTAATAAAGAAGTCTGACCAAATGAGGAGTTCATATTTCAACGTTTCACATATGCGCTCCTAAAATTGCAATTTTTGCCTTTAGTCTTAGGTATAGGTAGTTAATGAGGAACTATGAAAATAGGTCTGTGACAAAGTACTAACAAGAGATATACATCCTTAAAAACAGTGAAAATTTTCTATAGGTAATACCATAAATAATCCACACAATAATTGGACAAGCATTTATTAAATACCTACTGTGTGCTCAACACCAACTTAAGCAATAGGGGTGCAGAGATACAAATGTAAATTAATATTTCTGCCCTCAAGGAGCTTACAATTTAATTTTGGAAATAAATACAAATATGAAACTACAATACAGAGTGCTGGGAAATGATTCCAAAGCTACACATTATTAGTAAGTGCTTGACCACAGTGTGAACTAAAAAGATCAGTGCTGAGGCAGCACAGAAAAGGGAGTCTTAGTGTAGGTGCAGTCAGTCATGGAGGGCTCCCTCATAAGACCTAAAGGAGACCAGACTTTAAATTCAGTGATAAACATGAGCTGGAGCCAAAGAGCAATCTAAGGAAAAGTAACAGCATGAGAAAGGCACAGAGGCAAGGTCAAGGGCCTGTAAGACAACAGTTAAGGTCACAGGAAATGTTACTGTGATGATGTAAGTGGACATGTTGGAGAAGGAGGCTGCTAAAGACAGAGCATGGAAGGCAGGTAACAGAGAACTTGGAACATCACTGCTTTGATAGGAATTATGTTCTGGGTTTTGTGGAGTGAAAATAAGACAATTAAAATGGAGTTTGAGAACGATCATCTTGGATGCACACAAGATGAGGATCTTGAAGAGCAAGGACACTAGAAAGAAAGAATTGCAATCAACTGGGCCCCAGATAAATACAGATCTGAAAAAACTATGAGAAAATGTTGGAAGTTTTACATATTTTGTGCTGTAGATGAACTTACTACTGTCACCATAATTGTCCATCTCTAAACGTCCGGCCTCAGGAGAAAAGTTAGAATTGGAACAACTTAGCAATATTTTGGGCATGTAGAGTGAACTGGAACAAGACACCTCCACATTGTGGTAAGAAACAGCCATGGCCAGTTTGGATCAGTGGATAGAGTGTCAGCCCAGATTGAGGACTGCTGAGTTTGATTCTGGTCAAGGGCACCTGCTTTGGTTGCAGGCCCAATCCTTGAGGTTCATGTGGGAAGCAACCAATTGCTCTGTTTCTTTCACATTGATGTTTCTCTTTCTCTCTCCCTTTCATCCTGCCTGCCACTCTTTATAAAAATCAATGGAAAAATATCTTTGGGTGAGGATTAATAGAAAAAAACAACCATAAATGACAGTGAGTCTGATCAGGATAAAGAAATTAAGAAATGAAGCCTATATAAAAGGAAAATGGTGCTTGGGAGACAAGGAGTGTTGAATTCTGTTTTCAAAGATTAAGTTGTGTAAGGCAACAGTGGGAAATATTGTTAATGATAATCAAAATGGATAAACTAGAGTGAGGACAGAAAAGCTAGTGAATATGCTCAGTGGAGAGGAGAAAATAGACCAATAGAGAAAAGCTAGAAATTGGAAAAAAGTGACCAAAAACTGTCCCACAAGCTAAAGGAGAAGAGAATTCCTGAGATACAAGGTAAGTTCAAAGTATGCTGTGAAATACAGACCAAGAATAAGAACTAAAAAAGGCATGATATCATCCAATGGTGATTGGAGGACAGTTCACTAGAGTGCTGAGTACAAAGTTCAGTTAAGGAGTTTTGAGAATAAATTACTGAGGAAATGGATTGAACAGTGGATGGCAGTTTCTAAAAACCATAAATGCTAGAAGGAAAACAGTGGTCTTTGGAAATGGAAGGTTTTACATATTTTATGCTGTGGATGAACTTACTACTGTCACTATAATTATCTGTCTGGATGGTTGCATGGATATTTCATTTCCCTCAACATTTCTACTTTCTCTGGGGCAGTTTACAGGGAAGTGAATTTGGGTGTGCTTTATCCACCCAGTTACTCTTATAAACATTTTTACTTATGCACTTTAGTTTTCTAGTACTGAAATGCATCAGAAATATCAATATTTAAAGGTAATTTAATTAAGCAAAATGGCATTTTCAACCAACCTTCCGGGAATTGTTATGGATTTGCCCTGTCCTGCACATTTCTGTCCCATTTCTCCTGTATGAGGGACACACGATTCTTGATTCTCTTCTCAGGCCAGGCTAGAGTGCTCAATAGAGACCAATAGTCAGGAGCACAGACTCAAGAGCAAGAACGTATAGGTTCTAATCTCCGCTCTGTCACTTACCAGTTTTGTGACCTTGGTCAACCCATTTCCCTCTCTAAGCATGTCTTCTCATCTGTGAAATGGGGACTATATATCTATCACAGAGTTAGAAATGCTTAACACAGGGTCTTACACAGTTAAGTGCTCCACAAACATCACTCAGTACTATCTGGAGCTTCAAAAGAAAGAACAAAGAAAATGGCTCCACAGGGGAGTCAAGCACCACATTCTAGCACTGCCACCTTGCTCAAGAGAGGAAATCTCCCTGGTCCATGAAGAGGTGGCAGCAATCCGGAAGAACCATTTGTCACTCTAAGTCCATTTAAAACAAGGGCTGAAAAGCAGAGAAATTACTTCACATTATAATATAAACAGAACACGCAGTATAAGTGAACTTGGTGCATGTCACTGTCTTTTACTACTTGCCATTTTATGTGGGCGCCGAGTCATCCTAGATACTCTGTCAAGTCACTCTTTTTCTTTCTTTCTTTTTTTTTTTAATATATTTTATTGATTTTTCACAGAGAGGAAGAGAGAAGGATAGAGTTAGAAACATCGATGAGAGAATCATCAATCAGTTGCTTTCCTGCAAACCCCTTACTGGGGATGTGCCTGCAACCAAGGTACATGCCCTTGACGAGAATCAAACCCTGGACCTTCCAGTCGGCAGGCAGATGCTCTATCCACTGAGCCAAATCAGTTTTGGCAAGTCACTCTTTTTCGTTCATCGGTGTAACACTGATCTTTCTGGTCATATTTTATTTTCTTTGAATTTCTTCTGGATGCTTACTATTCTGAGATTGAAATAATCTGGCTACACATGACTCTGAGTAAAGAGATGTTAGCTGGCACATCTGCAGTCATTACTTACTGGAATAGAAGACAATAGCACTCTAAGTTACAGGGGAGGGGAGTGCACATGCACACACAGAAACAGTCTCCCATTTCCATCTCATGGAACATTGGCTCACAGGTGGCACAGGACTCAAGCAGAATTAGTATCTTACAGTGCGTAAGGCACAATTGAAGAGCAAGGACCTAGAGACTTCCATATTTATTAATTTATAGCTTCTTGAAGTTTTAAGTAAAAGGGAATTATGAATAATAATCCATAAAAGGGGGGGAAGGGAGGGAGGGAGAAAATTATTATGAATAATAGCATGAAGGACAACTGAAAGCACTGTCTGGAAAAGTTACCAAGGAAACCAGGATGACAAATGATGGTGGGTAGCAACAACTCAATTAAATAGGTGTAGGTAACCATGATGTTTGTGGTGAAGGTGGGCCAAAGGGCAGTGGAAGAAAGATATATTACAGGGAAGGAATTTATGATCTCAAAGATGGACCTCTGTGAAGTAAGGTTTTATGACTGATTTTAAAAAACATCAATCAATCAAAATATCACAATGAGCATTGTCCCTGTTCAGAATAGTCAGTGTGAAGTAATATAACTTGTCTTGGAGTTTTCAGCAGAACTTATAACTTATTCTGAGTAGAATTAATTAAATCAATTCCCATTATGAAAGATGACTTTGAAAGTAGCCAGAAGTTATTTGATTCAAAATTTGGTGAATAAGTGAGTAATCAAAGTAAAAAAAAAAAGGAGATGTGACTCAAGATTAATAAAGAGTTTTCCCATGTGATTTATCAAACAGGAATACCTGAAGGAATGCTTATCGCAGTGATGACACTACTAACACAGTTACAACCACACAACTGAAAGCCTGTGTGGGTGTGTAAACTCTGATGTTGCTTTAAAGTAGCCTCCAAGATGAGAGGTTGTCCTGATGACGATTAGTTTACCGTGGTCTTTGCTGGATTAAAGATGGAGTGTGCACCCAAATTAAGAAAATCGAGCAACAGTGAAGTGAGGTACTTGAGAGATCACCACTGTAACATATAAGCTAATGGCAAGAGGCATGTGAGGTACTGCCACCTGAGGAAGGGGGTCCAGGGTGGTAACAAGGGTGACCAACCAGTTCTCAGGAAGCATTGAGAGCCGCACTGAGATGGGCAAGGGGATGAGTGCACATTCTGTGTAAAGATTTGTATGCCTTCCTCAAGCCCACAGGCTCCCATGTGACACCATAACTAGAATGGTGTAAAGCAGCCGTCTGTACCATAGCGTGCGTAGGGAGGTGGGAAGGATGGCCAGATGTCACCACAAGGGGCAACCATCCAAGCTCAAGAGCAGGTGGACTGTCTGCACTCACCTTCCTTTGCACAGCCCACAACCATCACTAAGGCATCACTTCCTTGGCCGACTCAGGGCCTGGGGCTGGGGGTGGAGGACACTTGTGGTGTTTAGTGACTCAATGGAGTCAGTGAAAGTGACATGAACAAAATGCTGGAGTGCTGTTAAAAATACAGCATTCTGAGTGTGAATGAGAATATGCACTTCACTGATTACCAGGAACATTAGAAGAAAATGCACACCTAAGCTTGAATACCTGTCTGTAAAATTCTCCCTAGAACTAGAATCTTAGAAAGATAAATATACACTAAGTCTCAAAGAGGCTGCTTTGAACTCTAAAGCAAGCTTCCTTGGTTGAGGAGCACACACATGCCCCTCCAGGAGACTAACTGGGGAGGGGGCCAGAGAGTGAGAGCAAGCAGGAGCCAGGAGCAAACTGACTTAAATCTACAGCTACTAAGACAGAAGACAAAGTTTGGTGTTAGGTTCCTCAAGCCACTAGCAACTCACTCTTTAAGCTTCTAAGGGGTATGCTGGGCCACCAGACACCTCCAGGACAGTCAAGCTAACCCACCTGCATTGAGACGCTGGGCCCAAAGTACTCAAGAGCTATTCTAACTGCCCCCGTTAAGATGCTGACCCTGCATCAGTTCAAGATTACAAACTTTCTGCCTTTTTACTGCACTGAAGGACCTTGCACAGCATGTGGTTCCTTTACTGTTGAATAATGCCCAAACTATGATTCAAATTTCCCCTAAACTCCTATAGACTCAGATTTTTCTACAGTGTGGATTCTCTGATGTCGAATGAGACTGGACCTCTGAATAAAGGCTTTCCCACACTCATTACATTGATAGGGCTTCTCCCCTGTATGAATTCTCAGATGCTGAATGAGGCCAGTGTTCCCATTGAAAGCTTTCCCACATTCTTTGCATTTATAGGGTCTTTCTCCAGTGTGAATTCTCTGATGCTCAATAAGGCCTGACTTTTGACTGAAGGCCCTCCCACACTCATTGCATTTGTAGGGTTTTTCCCCAGTGTGGCTTCTCTGATGGCCAATAAGATGTGAGCTCCGCCTGAAGGTTTTCCCACACTCATCACACTCATAGGGTTTCTCCCCAGTGTGGATTCTCTGATGTCCAATGAGGTGTGAGCTATGACTAAAGGCTTTCCCACACTCATTACATTCATAGGGTCTTTCCCCACTGTGGATTCTCTGGTGCAGAATGAGGCCCGCACTCTGACTGAACGCCTTTCCACACTGATTGCACTGATACGGCTTCTCCCCAGTGTGGATTCTCTGGTGAAGAATCAAGCCTGTGTTTTGACTGAAGGCTTTGCCACACTCCTTACAGTGATAGCGTTTTACTTTGTTGTGGATATCCTGATGGGAAAGAAGGGCTGACCTGTAACTGAAGGCTTTCCCACACACATTACACTGATAAGGTTTCTCCCCAGTGTGGATTCTCCAGTGACGAACAAGGCCTGAGCTCTGGGCAAAGCTCTTTCCACATTCATCACATTTATGTCGTCTCTCCTGGGTGGGGTTCCCCCGCTGCCTCTCTAATCTGCCCAGAAGGTCTTGGGCTTCTCCACGCCCAAGACCCCCGATAAGATCCCCGTTGCATTTGGCTGCTGTCTCTCCATGTAGTTGGGCTCCGGTAGATATTACCTGTTTTGAAGCCAATTCCTTGTTCTCATTCCTGGTTTCACCACCTGAAACAAATTTGTAATAAGTCGTCAAGCAAATGTTACTTCCTATTCTTTGTTAGGAGAAAGGAATCAAAGATAGGAGGGAAGGAAAATAAATATAGAACAGCTACAACAATTGCAAAGCTTACATTTTTCTCCAAGATGCCTTCATAGGAGCAAATAAAACCCGAGTACCACTGGCTAACAGAGGAAGAAGTGCCGTGAAAAAGAGAAGGTATTGGAAAGGGGACTAAAGCAGGGAAGGGATCAGCTGAGGAGAAGTGGAAATCAGGAAGTGGGAAGGAATATGGAACAATTAGAAGATCTAATGAGTGGGACAGAAATAGAAAAAAATCCCCAAACAGTCATAAAAAGGAAGGAGCATAAGAGGCTCAGGTGAGAGAAATCTATGTAAATATCCTATGGGAACTGGGACCAGAGGAAATGAGTGAACTCAGACAGCACTAAAAGTGTAAGCTAAATCAGTCCTGGATTTGAGTTCTGGTTCAATTTTAGTCCTCAAGAAGATCAATATTGTATTTTTATGCTGAATCCTGAATTTACACACAACTATGTCTTTCAGATAGCTCACAATGTAAGTATACTTAAAAAACAAGCAAACAGACAAATGGCCAAACAAAAATCCTTAACTATGATTAATAACCGGAGTGCCACTCACCCAGGGAGAACATGCTTCTGTAACTCTCTGGCCTGTCATCTCTCTTCAGATCCTTCTGTGATGGATCAAGAAGCCACTCCTCTCGAATCAGGGATACAGCCATGTCTTCAATCTTCTCCAGAGTCTGAAACAAAAGAAACTCCCATTTGAGGACTGGATTGTTCTACAGCTAAAACCCAGGGTGCCACCGACCCACCAGGGTTACACAGGGTCAAGAGCTGGGGATGTACTGATCAGCTGGGAAGAGGAAAACGTAACAAGTCAAATACCAATCTGTCTCTATCCCAAAGGATTTGGGCAAGTTCCACGGTGAGCTCTGCTGCAGGCAGTCCACAGGCCACGCTCGTGATCAAGGGCAGCGACGGGGCTTCAGTGAACGGAGCAGACTCACCTGGAGCCCTGCAGTTAGAAGTGACGCAGCCACCTGGTTTCCAGGACTTCCTTTCTGGGAAGGGGTGGGACTGTGAGAAGCAGATAGAGCTGAGGAGGAGAGAGAAGCTGTGAATAAGGCAGCCTTGTGTTGTGCTTGCGGGAGTCAATAGTAACCCATTCTAAAACTATCTGTATTTCAGCCGAAATGCATGCCACAGATATCACTGTGAAATGGTGATAGGTTGCCTCTGGCTCCACACCTATGGTTGTCCATGAAACATCCACTTTGATGTCCCTCTCAGCCTGACGTTGCACATAAAACATACAAATTGCATGGCTTCCTAATAGGAACTGATGCATAATTTCTCCTCTGACGGAAGCTACATTCTGTCCTCGTGCTGGTCACAAGATCCCTTTAGTCCCAGTCTCTTGACAACCTTTATTTACTGTGCTACAGCCTTGGGATTGACAGTCTGTGTGCGAAGCTTACATAAACACTGACACCACAACTAAGAATGGTCTGTAAAGAGTGGTTCCCCAGGAGCGAAGCGGGGTTCCTTCCTCCTCTCTCCTCATCAGTGAAACCTGGCTCCTCACCTCTGTCCCAGGGCCCGTGGAGCTCAGGAGCCATGTGCCCGGTTGCCGGAGGCTGAAGTGGAGCATCTGGAGGCTCTGGTGCGGGTTCCGAGTGCACTACCTCCTCCCAGAGGATCCTGTGACCATGTGCATGAGCCGGGACCTGGACACAACGAACAGCTGCGTTACGAGGAACCCCTCTGAGAAGCGAGGTGAAGAGGGCCCAAAGCACATTTTCAGGATGCATGCTCAGCAAGGAAGCAGCAGACCTCACTGATTTCCTCCAGCAGCAAGGAGCACACACACGTTGATTTGCACAGAAACCGAAGGAAAACTTGATGCCCTCCCCATGTCCAACATATACTGTGCACTCCCAAGGCCAGGGAAGAATGACTATCAGGAACAAAGCAAAGCTATTCTGATGAGGAATTAAGAAACCTGAGCTCTGGTCTCAGATCTACCTTTAATGTTTGGGTGTCCCTGACAAAGTAACTTAAGCTCTGTATGCACCTTGCAAATAGGAGCAATAGCACAGCATAATAAGGAGAAAAATGGATTTATACTTTAAAAAATAATTCTGTAAATTAAGACAGGTCACACTGTGACTGCTCTTGTCCTCCAACAGCAGGAACGCATGCCTAGTATTGATGTTCTCACTGCAGTGCAAACGCCCCTCCGCCCAATCGCCAGGATGCACACGCACAGCACACACACTGCCTGCCACTTACTGGCCGTCCTAGGATGTCAATCTGCCTCTCCAGATCCTCCAATAAGGTCACCACCTCCTCCCCACTCTCCAGCTGATGTTCCTTCACCAGGGCCTGCAGCTCTATGGGCAGGATGCTCAGGAACTGCTCCAGCACCAGCAGCTCCAGGATCTGCTCCTTGCTGTTCAAATCTGGCCTCAGCCACTGATGGCAAAGTGCCCGGAGTTGGATCAGAGCTTCCCGGGGTCCTTGTGTCTCCTGGTAGCACAGCTTCCTGAATCGCAAGCGGAACAGCTCTTGGCCAGGAGGGTTGTGTTCATGTGGGCTGGATTCCTGGTCCCAGCCATGATCTTCCTCGACCTTGACAATTACAAGGTCCTCTTCAGGAGCCTGGTCGGATGGAGATGGGGCTAAAGACTTTCTTGATTTTTCAGCCATGTAGGGCTGGGAAAGATGAGGAGACTTGCGTCCACCACCGTCTTTATTTTCTTAAAAGAAGGACCTTCTGAGGGCCTCTTCTTTAAAGGACTTCTTTACAAATAGAAAATGCTAGTGTTAGGGGAAGTCAAAGGTCACACTAAGACATCTTAACAAGCTCCCTACAATGCCATGCACGTCACAACTCAATTGTTTAAGTGACCCTCTATACTCTTGCAGAAGGATTGTCTTACCTCAATAGCCTTCTGTCATACCTACCCATCTAGGGAATAACCCCTTCTTTCTGTTTTCTTTCATTGGGGATGTGGAACATGAGTAAACAAAGTCAGGAAACCAGATAGACTGCATCTAATAGAAGTTCTGGCCCTCAGAGTGGCTGACAAATTTTTTCAGCATTTGCACATCAGCTGCACTGTTTCTACACACTTCAACTCTTAACCTATCCCTCACTCTCAACAGTTGAGAGTAATTCTACTTATATAAAAGCCTAAGCGACCATTATGACCCAATGACCATAATGACTGACCAGTCGCTATGACACACACTGATCACCAGGGGCCAGACACTCAACACAGGAGCTGCCCCTTGGTGGTCAGTGTGCTCCCACAATGGGAGTGCCGCTCGGCCAGAAGCCACTCAGGCAGAAGCTGCTCAGCCACAAGCCAGGCTCACGGAGCAGGCGCAGCAGGGCTGGGGTGAGTGGGAGCAGTGGAAGGCATCCAGCATGGCCAAGGAGACCACCGGGGACCTCCAAGCCGGCAAGGTGCAACCCTGGCTGCAGAAGGGACACTTGCAAATATTTTTTTAGGAAGCTGCAGGGAGGACAAGAAGCAGCTCAAGGAGACGTGAAAACTCCTCAGGCACTTGGGTGTGGGCTCCCAATTTCCTTTCAATGTGTACAAATCTGTGCACTAGTTTCCAGATAATTTAGCTCAAGGTACTGACAAGGACTATCCTTCTGCTGACATTCATTACCCTTCCTGGGCACCCACCTTCACTCCGATCTCAGGGCTAACTTCTAGTGTGGACCCTTTTCCAACCTTTGTCTCTTTAAAACACTGGTCCTGCATCTCCTAGGAACCTGGATGCCCCGTCACCACCTGCAATCCCAAAATCAGGTCCCCAACACTACTGACCTACCAGAATGTTTTATAAATAAAGTCATACAGCAGAAAGTCTCTGGAGGCTGGCATTTTTCAGTCAACATAATACATCTAAGATCATCAATTTTGTTGCATGTTATCAGTAGTTTATTCTAATATACTAGAGGCCCGATGCATGAAATTCGTGTGTGTGGGGGGGTTCCCTTAGGCCCAGCCTGCACCCTTTCCAATCTGGGATCCCTTGGGGGATATCCCACTGCCTCTCGCAATCTGGGACCACTGGCTCCTAATTGCTTACCTGTCTGCCTGCCTGATGGCCCCTAACTGCTCTACAGGCCTGATTGCTACTACTGCTCCCCTGCTGGCCTGATCACCCATAACCACCTCTGCCCTACCCTGCACTCAGGACACAGGCTTTCCTCCCTCTGGCCAGCCGCTGGCACTCAGGACCTGTGCTGGCTTCACCTGGGCCTGCTGCAGCCACAAAGAACCATGGGCAGGCGGCTTTGCCTGGGAAGCAGCCATAGGTGCCCAGGACCATGGGGCAGGTAGCTTGTTCCTCTCCTGGGCTACAGCCGCAGGCATTGGCACCTGTGACTGTGGGGCAGGCAGCTTGTCCCTCCCCCATGCTGCAGCCTGGCTGGTCCCCATTCCTCTCTCCCCAGTGTTGATTGTCTGAGCTGTTTTGGTGTGAGTGTGAGGGTGTGATGACCATGTGCATATTAGCTCTTTTTTATACAGGATATTTATCTCCTTAACAGCTAAGACATCTCAGTGTATGCACATCTGTATTTATTAAGCTGGTAAGCACCTTGTGGGTAGAGACTGCTTCTTACATCTCCTTTTAACAATACCCGGTCACTTTATTGATTTAGAAATTAGAAGAGTCCATCTGTAAGGCTTCTGCTTTAAACTCTATAACCCTGAGAACCCCTGAAGGAACAGCTCAGTTTCTAAGAGCATTAATTTTTCAATAGATGAGGAAGAAACATTTTCTTCTTTCAGACTAGTTAAGTATAATTTGAGATGTTTGGGAACTGATAAACAAAACAGAACAAGAGGAGCTTTTCCAGGTTTACAGGACTAAAAAGGTGGGAGAAGCAAACACCAGCAACTCTGTGTCTCTCAGACCAGAGGCTGAACGCTTTGGCGTCCACACTTCACCCGTAGCCACACCGGAAGCTCACGGTGTGTTTGCCACAAACATGCATATTAACTGGCTGTTTGGAGGCGGTGGCGGCAGTGGCTCAGGAGACACCCGAGTGGAAAAGGGACACCTGCTTCCGGGCAAATCCGGAAAGGCGAGCTCTGCACCGCCGGCGGTGCCGGAAGTTCTTTTCTGTGTAATTACACAGACACCACCCCCATTTCCTGAATTCCCCACGAAGAGCTGAATGACACAGCAGCAAAAATAGGTTTCCTTAGATCACCGGGGCTTCCCATAGAAAAATATGTCTCTTTAAAAAATGAAAAAAGGGAGACTTTTACTGTGAGGAAGGCAGCCTTGCTGCACAAAGTAACTCTCTCGGCGGGAACAGCTGTTTGTCCTATTTTAGGACTAACCCGTGAGCGACAAAGAAACGAGCCTCACAAAAGGCCACGCAGAAGTCCGGGGGCGCTGCCCGGCCGGGATCCCCGATCCCCGCGGTTCGGCCCCGCGGAGGCCTCGGGCGGCCCCGCAGCAGGCGGTCCGGCCACGGAGCGCCTTCGGGCGGGCGGACAGCACTTACCGAGCTCCGGCGCGGCCCACGCGGGGCAGGGAGACCGCGGGCGGCGGGCGGACCGGGGAGAACCGGCAAAAAAGGGACGAGAGCAGCACCCACCAGGCCCTCCGGCCCAACTTCCGCACCAGCTGGGGGACTCCAGCCGTCAGCGCGCCCCTCGCACGGACACTTCCGGCCTCTCTGGGAAGCCGGGAGGACTGAGCGCTCTATGGTCGGCGCCAGAACAATTCCGGTCTCTCTGGGAAGCCGGGAGGACTGAATGCTCTATGGTCGGCGCCCCGGCTCCTCAGCGCCTGCGCGTGGCAGGGTCTCCGCAGAGGAGCTGGGAGGGAAGGTGCCACGGGCGGGCGCTATGGCCGATCTGGGTGGTTCTGGTTACAGGCCCCTGGAGTTGGGTCTTCTCTCCAAATACACACCCAGTCTTAGAGAAATTCCTGTTCATCATCGCTCATAATTTTAAAAATCCGAAACATGCCCTTTATGCTGCCATTCTTCAGAAGGAATCAGCCCTGGCTGGGCTGCTCAGTGGGTAGCGCTGACTGAGGGTAGGGTCGGACTCAGTTGGGAGCATGTGCCTGGGCCCCTGCGGGCCGCAATCAATTAATGCGGTTCTCACAGGGATGTTTCTGACTTTTGGGTGACAATTAATAAAGAAAAACACGGGCTCAATGGAAAGAACCTTTGGCCGCCGACTCAGGGTCCCGGTTCTGTCCAGGTCGAGGGCACATCCCCTCGATTGCAGGCTGGATCCTAGGGGAAGGCAGCCAGTGAGTGTGTCTTTCTCACATGGATGTCTCTCTCCCAAAAATCAATGGAAGTACCCTCAGGGGAGGACTGAGGAACAAACATCACAATTCACTGAATTTATATATTTTTTAGGATCTTTAGCCCGTCTTCCACCCCTTTCTCTCTCCACGAACTGCACTCTCTTACAACACCTGCGTCTGCAGCTCCCCCGTGTTAACCGGGACAAACCTGCACTCACCTATCCCTTATCCCTTATACCGGTCTTATCTGTTTTCCTATCTACCATCAAATCTGTTTTCCAACCCCCATCAATTCTGTGCCCCTCCAACCTTCACCTTCTTTGCCCTTTCTGATCCTGCAGATGGTACAGCCAATGTTTCTGCTCAGTGCTCACTCTTAACCGAGAAGTAATCTGTCCAAACACTAGTTTTCATTTGTTCTAACATATAATCACAACTAAACAAATACTGCAAGTGGAGAAGTGTCAGTACCTCTAAACTCTCAAAACACTCATATTTGCCCTTTATTTCATAGCTACTGACTCACAGCTGGAAGTAACTAGCAGCAAACTAGAACTCTGCTCTCAGGTGGTTTTTTTTTTTTTTTACGTTAAAAATATAATTTTACAACACAAACTTGGTAGTTCAGAAGCAAAATAGCACACCTGATTTGTGCATTTTACTAATGATAATGAGTTGTTTTTTTAAATGTGCACATTTAATAAAATGTTTTTATTTTATTTTTTTGGAGGAAGAGGGGGAGAGAGGGGAAGACATTGACGTAGGAGAGAAATTTCTCTTGGATGCCTCCTGCACGCACCTCGACTAGGAATGGAACCCACAACCTGGGCATATGTCCTGACAGAAATCAAACTGGTGACCTTCTGGTACACAGGACAATGCTCAACCAATTGAACCACACCAGCCAAAGCTAATAAAAATAAATTTCAAAAAGTGAAATAGTACTTTCACGCTGCACTCCTCCCAAGATGACCACTTTAACTGCTTCCCTTAAACTCAGCTTCATGTTTATTTGCAAATAACATGGCAACACTGCCATTTCTTGATTTCCTATGTACAGATAATATATATTACCTGTTAACTTCCTTCTATGGAAAATAAGCACTTAAATCTTCTAACCACTGCTGGAATTAGCCACATCCGGGCTCAGCATTGTACCAGAGTTGTATCAGAGTTGCAGGGTCCAACAACAACAGCCACACTCTTTTTGTTAGTTCATATATTTTATTAATTTTACAGAGAGGAAGAGAAAGGGAAATACCCTCAGAGGAGGATTACAAGCCCTTGACCACAATTGAAGGCAGGACTGTTCAGTCCTTGGGCCAACGCTAAATCCACTGTGCCAAACCAGTTAGGGATAGGGACAGCCACACTCTTTTTATGTAGAAGTGATAGTAACCTAAGCTTTTAATTTAAATTATCTTATATAATAAAAGCCTAATATGCTAAGTGTCCAGTAATCCATTCAACCAATTGAAGCATAATATGCTAATGATATGCTAAGGCCACTCCATACCTTGGTAGGATGTGCACTAACCAGCAGCCCATTGGGTCTGAGCGAGCAGGCCAGATATGCCCTGGAGCCCTCGTGTGGCCCCTCCCTTGCCCTAATTGTGCACCAGCGGGGTCCCTCGGCCTGGCCGGCAGCCTCTTGCAGCCCGGGTCCCCTCGGGGGATGTTGGAGAGCCAGTTTCAGCCTGATTCCGCAGGCCGGACCAAGGGACCACACTGGTGGATGAATTGGTGCACCAGCACTTGTTAGGTTATATTTACTTTAATAATTGTCTTCTTTCAATTAGAACACAACCTTTTTTTTTTAAGGCTGAAAAGGTAACATTACTAAACTGCTTTCTTCTGGAGTATTTCCATTGTCTTTCCTGCTGCAATTGCAGCCTCCTCAGGTGTCTCTTTTGCTACTTCCCTGAACTCAGAATCACACAGTATCAAAGCTAGATGGCACCTTACTGGTGTCTGATGGGGACAGCAATGCCTTTACAACTTTTTGTAGCAATAAAAATAGTCCACACCTGTGTTGTCCGATACAGTAGCTGCTTGCCACGTGGGACTAAGAACATGGACATGTTCTTAGTCATGTCACCAGGAACTGAACTTACCATCCTATGTGTGTTGTTTAGATGTATATGGCCACTTGTGGATACTGGCTACATGAGACAAACCTCTGCCTCAGTTTACAGCAGCAATTTATAATATTTCTCATCTCATGGCACACATAAACTGTACTAAAACTCTTTGGCACACCAAGATATCTATATTTTTTGCTGATCTGGCAATAAAAAGGGGTATAACATTGGTTAATTGATACATAGTGTTGGCTGTTATCATTTTCTTTTATTTGACATCCAAGGGAAAGGAGGTCAGTGCCCCTGACTACAGTCAGGGTTGCATGTTTTTTGTTCGTTTGTTTGTTTTTCCTTTTTTTCCTTTTCCTTTTTTGGGGGGATTGCATGTTTTAAAAACTCCTGCAGGCAGAAACCAGTTTGGCTCACTGGATAGAGTGTCATTCTGAAAAGTCCTGGGTTTGATTCCGGTCAAGAGCATGTACATTGGTTGAGGGCACATCCCCAGTAGGGGATGTGCAGGAGACAGCTGGTCGATGTTTCTTTCTCATCGATGTTTCTAACTCTCTATCCCTCTCCCTTCCTCTCTAAAAAAATCAATAAAATATATTTTAAAAATAAATAAAAAAGAAAAACTCCTGCAGCACACTGGTTGGAAATTGCTAGTTTACAGGGAATGGAGACTCAGAAGAGAAGTGACTTATCTGAAGTTAAGGATCCCTGATACACTCATTAACCCCTGTCTGGCAGTTCCTATTCCTCACTCTGCTTTCCTTATTCGGTCTTCTTTAGTCTGCTGACTTTTCAGTTGCCTCCTTTCTGTCAGTGCTAAAGAAAAAAATTGCACACAATGAATATATCCCATAGTTGAAGATGAAAAAAACCAATAAATATTTAGGCCATTATATCTATAATGATGGGAAAAAATAGTAGTCTTATTTCTTTAAAGAAAAAAAAAATATTTTCGCCTGGATGGCGTGGCTTGGTGGTTGAGCATCAGCCTGAGAACCAGGAGGACCCAATTTGATTCCTAGTCATGGCACATGCCTGGGTCATGGGCTACATCCCCAGTAGGGGTAGGGGTGTGTGTGCAGGAGGCAGCCAATCCATGGTTATGTGTCATCATGATGTTTCTCTCTCTCTCTCTTTTCCTCTCTGAAATCAATTAAAACATATTTTTTAAAGTTCTCAGCACCCTGGCTGGTTTTCCTCAGTGGCTAGTGTTGCCCATTGGATTCCTGGTGAAAGGTGCATACTTTGGTTGGAGATTCCCCAGCCCACATAGAGGCATGTGCGAAAGGCACCGAATGACATGCCTCTCACATCCATGTTTCTCTCTTTCTTTCCCCCTCCCCCGCTTCCCTTCCACTCTCTCTAGAAATCAATACAAAAAATATCCTCCAGTGAGGATTTAAAAATAAAAAGTTTTCATTGACTTTAGAGAGAGAGGAAGAGGGAGAGAGAGAAACATTGCTGCACCCAGACCAGGGATCAGATTTGTGACCTTTCAATACAAGACGCTCCACCAAACGAGTCACAACAGCCAGGGCTTAGTTCCTAATTTCAAAAGCAATTTTCATCTATTTCAACTTACTACACAGCCTGTGGGCCTGTCCCATCATCGACAATTCAAAGAACGGAAATGAAGGCAGAGAACTGAAATGCCTTTGCCTAAAGTTGTACACTGAGTGGTCAATAAAAAGGGCTGAGAGTTGGAATTCACTGTCTTTCACCCAGAAAACAGTAATCTTGGACTGGAATAAGCACTGCTATTTATGGTGGTCAAGGCTTTCTGAAGTAACTTAAAAAATAACTACACTTTTTTACTAATTTTTTTAGAGAGAGAGGAAATAAGGAAGAGTGAGGGAGGGAAATATTGATGTGAGAGTGAAACATTGATCAGCTGCCTCTTGCATACCCCGCTACTAGGGATCAAGCCTGTAACCTGGGCATTTACCCTGACAGGGAATTAACCAGCAACCTTTGTGTGCATGGGTCAACGCCCAATAGAGCCACACCAGCCAGGGCTCTGAAGTAAGAAACTGAACTGCTTTAGAAATAAAAGCAAATTTTATTCAGATTCTGTGGTACCAGAGAAATTTATAACGATGATGGAAGCTTTGCCTACATTCAGGATACTCATACGGTCCCTAATAAGGCCTGAATAGCTCAGGAATTGTTGTTACTGACCCCTTATTGGTAGAGCCTTTTTGCTACATGAATTCTTTGATGTTGAATAAGGGCTGAATTTACCCAAAAAGGCCTCCTGTACTCATAACATTCGTAGGGCTTTTCACCTGTGTGGATTCTCATGCTGAATAAGACCTGAGCTTCCACTAAAATCTTTCCCACATTCTTCACATTTATAGGGTTTCACTCCAGTATGCACTCTGTGATGTGGCCACTTCCTCAATGGTCAGTAGTTTCTGAAAAAAAGTGAAATCGCTCCACTCAAGGATATTTCTCCTGAAGGAATCTCATTTTAGGACCAAGAGTAAAGGGCAGGATTTGTAACCATGTAGGTATAATACAGGGAAAAGTGGTATGCTTTCTGTCAATGAGAGACATTACAAGAAAAGGAAAAAGGAAAAGACAACCAGAGAGATGACTGAAGAATGAGGAGGACACAGCAAAGTCAGAACTTACCCGGGCATAGGAGCCAGGCAACCGACCTGGAGTGTCACGAGAGGCACAATCACAGGCAACCTGGGTCGTGGGCTGCCATCCGTAAAGGGCAGAGACCCGAGACCAGGCCAAGAAGGAATGTTGTCAAAAGGAGATGAGCTTGCTCTGTCGGTGCACTCAGTGGTTAGAGCAGGGCCACTCACCAAAGGGTCTTGGGTTCACTTCCTGTCAAATATATATATATACGTATGTGTGTGTGTGTGTGTGTGTGTGTGTGTGTGTGTGTGTGTGTGTATTGATGTGGATTGCAGGTACATTCAGGAGGCAATCAATCCGTGTGTCTCTCACATCCATGTTTCTCTCTCTATATATATATCCCCCTTCTACTCTCTCAAAAATCAATGGAAAGACATCCTTGGGTGGGGATTAACAAAACAAAACAAACAAAAAAGAGATGAGCTTTCCTTGGGGCTCCTTTAGGGACAGGCCCTGCAATAATTTCCTCACCAAACCAGCTGGCCACACTGGTTAAGAATTCTCATGTTCACTGGTTGTATAATTCTTCAGGGCACTTTAAACTTCAGTGTATACTTTAGCTACCTCACATATGTCCCAGTGCAGATTAAGGCAAATTACACAAAAACACACATGTGTGCAAGGGCTAGTCTTTTGAGCAAATAGCAAACAACTCCCGTAGATGGGATCCAAAGAGCATCGCTGACAGAACTAAACCACCATCAGCATGAGAAGCAGTTTTATGGATTACAAAAAAGCACAGAACATAAACTCAGTTTCTAACTTACTAAAAAAAAAGATTGGGAAAATAGTGTCCTTCTAGTCGGATGGAGTGAGTTCATGCTCAGCTCCAAAAACAGATAAGAACAAAATCTCTCTGCAGACCGAAGGACAAACTGCGCAACCGTGGCCTTGGCCACAGAGGACAGCGGCGAACCAAGCACTCCACGCGGAGGACGGGCCCCAGCTCACGTGTGATAGATCCTAGAAGAATAAGCCAAGATAAAGAACATGAAGCCGCTTCTAAATGCTGCCTTCCAAGCAATAAAACATAGTGAGTTAGCCAGTCAGACTAACACCTTCCCCATTTACCCGGAATGCAAACCGAACTGGCCCGTCACCGAACAGAACTACCAGTAGTCCCGGATCCAGAACATGCGCCGTCTGTGTCCGTGAGCCACACGGACCTGACAGACCAGAGCGTGCGGGAGATGGCGCGGCGCGTCCGGCGCGGACTGTACAAGGAGTAGCTCACACGTTCGCCGATCTGGATTCCCAGGCCACCGCGCCCACTCTTCCGGGCGACTGGGGCAACTGAGGAAACTAACCGGCCCTCCCCACCTCAGCCCGCGAGAAAATGTGTCAGAGGACCCAATGAGAAGGAAGTGCGAATGTCAACCAGCCCAGCTGAAGGGCGACCCCTGAAACCTAACCCCCAAAGCATAACCTAAAACTAACCTAGAAAAGTGTACTGATTATCCCAATTCCGAGGATGTGCTCATATAAACCCCGTCTGAAGGAAATATATTCAAGAATCCGGTCCGGCGGAAGTGCTCACGTAAACTGGGTCTGGCCCAAGTGTTCATGTAAAGAGATTCCGGCGGAAGTGCTCACGCAAACTAGGTCCGGCGGAAGTGTATCGAAGAATTCGGTTCGGAGGAAGTGCTCACGTAAACTGGGTCCGGCGGAAGTGTATCGAAGAATCCGGTCCGGGGGAAGTGCTCACGTAAACTGGGTCCGGCGGAAGTGGTCACGTAAACTGGGTCCGGCCGAAGTGCATCGAAGAATCCGGTTCGGAGGAAGTGTTCATGTAAATAGAGTCCGCCGGAAGTGCTCACGAAACTGGGTCCACCGGAAGTGCTCACGTAAATAGAATCCGGCGGGAGTGCTCATGTATATTGGGTTCGGCGGTTTTTCTGTAAATAGTGCTCACATAATTATATATATATATATATATATATTTTTTTTTTGACTTTTTTACAGAGAGGAAGATAGAGGGATAGAGAGAAACACCGAGAGAGAATCATCGATCAGCTGCTTCTTGCACACCCCTTACTGGGGATGTGCCTGCAAACAAGCCCTTGACCGGAATCGAACCTGGGACCTTTCAGTCCACAGGCAGACGCTCTATCCACTGAGCGACCGGTATTGGCGAGTGCTCACATAATTAAACTCCAGAGGAAGCGCACCCAAGAATCCAGTCCGGCAGAAGTGTTCGTGTAAATGGTGTGCTCACATAAACTCCGGCAGAAGCGCATCCAAGAATCCTGTCCGGCGGACGTGCTCATGTAAACAGAGTCCGGCGGAAGTGCTCATGTAAACAGGAAGTGCATCAACGAACCTGATCCGGAGGAAGTTGTCATGTACGTTCGGTTCGGCAGAAGTACATCCAAGATTCCGGCCCGGCGGAAGTGCTCATGTATATTAGGCCCGGAGAAAATGCACTCATGAAACCTGTTCCCAGGAAGTGTTCACAGAAATAGGTACCGGACTCTGCCCGGCAGAAGTGGACCCGGAAACCCGCTTGGCCCTGCCCCTTACCTCCCTATTGCACCCGGTTCCCGACCGCTCCTAGCGCCTCCTGCTGCCACGCTGCTAATTGTAGAGAGGGTGGCGGGTCAGACAGGCGATAAGTGAATTGTGCGCCTCAGCGCTGTCTCGCGCCTCTTCCGTGTATACCGTTGCAGTTTATTTCAGGAGACAAGAGTAGTACGGAAAATAAGAAATTTGTCCCAAAGAAGCAAATATTTAAGAAACTCCATCTACATAGACAAGTGCAAGCGACATGATTTGCAGACTTCATGAAAAAGAAAATGTGGAAGCCTTTGGTTAAAAACATCATGTTAAAGGTATTAAACTATAAAATCTTTTTTATCCCCACCACACATATTCTCTTGATTTTCATGTTTTTGTTATTTAATGTCTTTTGAAATAAAAGAAAAATTTAAAAGATCACTATGAGTTTTTCTATTCACCTTTATATTGTGCAATGCCAGTTTAAAAGCAAATATAAACACATTTAACTTGTATATAGAAACATAAAAATTATGGACAATTCATAACTTGAGGCTCCCAAAACGGGACAGGCTAAAGTATGTTTACAGTTGTGAGTATGCAAGTTTATTTTTGTATTATTTGTATTAGAACTATAAACCTACTTTTGCTTGCCCCATAACCTCAGTGGACATGCTGTACACTTGAACTTACACTTTTAATTTTGTACATACCAAAGCACCAAAGAAATAAGACAAAGGCAGTTGAGGCTTGTCTGTCATCCTGAGCTGAGGAATGGGAGGGGGGAGGGGGCCTGGTGCTCCAGAGGAAGTGATTCCCAAGAAGTTAAGGGCAGATGTTTGGTTTTCAGAGGGTTGCCCTACACATACATAAAGGTCACTCAGGTAAAAGTTAACTTTCTTCATAGCTCTCTTTCTAGGACAGGCCCCCAATAAAAATTTTGCATAGTTAAGGGAGAGGTAAAACTTTTTCCTGAGTCTGCTGGGTTTCAATTTCCTTCAGCTCAAAATAATTCACATGCCAAAGTGGCCCAAAACTCCCCTTCATATTCTGAGCCTGTGAACTCCCAAGACTCACAGGCTCACTGAAATTTGTGCTCATGGGGAACACCAAGAGGGGAGCAAAGAAATATAGATATGTCCTCTGCTCAAGTACATGCCCCATTTTCCTATTTAATTCACTTAAGCACAAGTTTAAAGATAAAATTGGAAGCACCTGGATGGTGCTTCTCAGTCGTCACAGCTTCAGCTGGAGCATGGGTCTCAGGTTTGAGTCCCAGTCAAGGGCATGCACCTGGGTTGCAGGTTCAATCCCCAGCCCAGACAGTCAGGGCATGTTCGAGAAGCAACCAATTGATGTTTCTCAATGCCTCTCTCTCTTTCTTCCCCCTCCCCCACCCTACCTCCCTTCCACTCTAAAAATCTATGGGGAAAGATATCCTTGGGTGACCATTAATAAAAACAACAAAGACAGAATGCGTTTTAAGGCTGGGACAACAGCATTAAGCCAAGCTCAGGGCCTTCTGGGCACTCAGGGATGTGGTGACAGCAATCACTACCTTTGAGGCGAGACCTGCACGAGTCACTGGGGATACGAGGAAGGCAACTGCCTCAAACAGGTGATAAATGTTGGGAAAATCCCACCTGAAACACAAATCTTATCAAACACAGGGGAAATTGTATTGTGGGAAAGCCTATAATCAGGACAAGAGAGAACTCAAGTTAAGAGAACTGTAGTTATCACCATAGTAAGTGTGAGAAAACCTACTTTTGTTGCTCCCCTGAAACTCTCTGCCACAGTGAAGAATACAGGAAAGCTTCTATCGAAAGCACTGGCCTCTCCCAGCATTTGAGAATCCAGAGGAAAGAAAGTCCTCATATGTGATGAGAGTGGGAAAGGTTCCAGGTGGCTCAACTCTGAGAAGGTACCAGACTGTCCTCATGACTGCACACTGGCAGTTTCATTGAGGATTTAGTAATAAGATGCCCTGGATATGAGCAAGAGAAGCTTGAAGGTCGTGTCCTTTGGACACGGCAATTTTTCCAAAGCCAAACCTTGGAATGGAGATGATCCTTTAGACAAGCAGTCATAAAACTACTCTGCAGCAGGCCAGGCCACCTTGGGTACTGGCTTAGTGTCTCCAGATGAGCAGCTGAATCCGTCTTTTCACCTCATAATCTTGTAACTGTTGACAAGTTGCCGAACTCCTTTTAACTCAAAACTTTTTTCAACCAAATGAGGATAACCACTACTCTACCATTCACCAGGGCATCACAGGATAAATGGGAACACGTGCAAGGAATATAGAACCAATGCACTCCTGTGCTGGTTTAAAGTTTCAGAGCCTTTGTTTTTGCTACCAACTCACCCTGCCCTCACTTTTCAGTGGCCAGTTGAGAGGCCCCGCACTGCAGTCTGTCCATCCAGCCCAGGAAGGTGTCCACAAACCCCCAGCACACGCGGCAGGAAGGTTCCGGTCACAGGACTGCATCCATCTCCTCCAGATCTAGGTTCCCTCCCACTTGAACACATTGCTCACCTCTGCCCCCACCTCTTGCCTCATTTCCTTCCACTCCCCCGTTCTGTTGGAATCTCTGACTCCCACCTCTTGCCTTGGGTGTACTTCCTGGCACAACCTGGACGCAGATTACACCCTACTTGTCAGAAGGCCACCTGCCGAGTCCCCTTACACAACCCTCCGGTCTGTCCTGTTGCAGAGCAGCCTTGTGCAGAACCACTACGTGGGGCTGAGGATCACCCTCACTCTGAGTCCCCCCCACTCTGTGGTCATGGTTATTTTCTAAGGCCCTTCTTTGTCCTTTCTCCACTGCTGGACTAACCTATTTACTCGCCTCCCCCAACTCTGCTCTTCTGGATTGGCAGCCCAGCCTCTCAGAAAGCAAACAGAGGACAGACCACAGGCAGGATCACATATGAGAGGACCAGAGGGAGGGAAGAGACTCTGGCTGTTCTGTTACACACCCTACCCAGGATTTACTTTGCATTCAATGTTTCCCACATTTTGCTATTTTCTTAGCATTCCATAGGAATTTAAGTTCCTCACATTAATAGGCTTTCCCTCTTGTGAATTCTCCGATGTTGGCTGAGGTGCGAGCTCTGACTGAAGGCTTTTCCGCACTCATTGCACGCATAGGGTTTCTCTCCAGTGTGGACTCTCAGGTGTCGAATAAGGTGTGAGCTCACCCTGAATGTTTTCCCACACTCACTGCATGCATAGGGTTTCTCTCTGGTGTGGATTCTCTGATGCAGGATGAGGTGTGAGTTCAGGCTGAAGGCTCTTCCACATTCTTTGCATTCAAAGGGTCTCTCCCCAGAGTGGATTCTCTGGTGTCTAATGAGATCTGATCTCCCCCCAAAGCCTTTTCCACACTCGTTACACTCATAGGGTCTCTCTCCAGTGTGGATTTTCTGGTGTCTAGTAAGCTTTGAGCTGTGCCTGAAAGCTTTCCCACACTCACTACATTGATGGGTTTTCTCTCCACTGAAAAGTGCTGTCTGTTTAATAAGGTTTGAGTGCTTGAGAGATTTTCCACATTGGGGAGTTTTTCCTCCAACATAAATTCTTTGATGCATAATAAAACCTGAATTCCACATGAGACTTTGGTCATAGGTACTGTGTTTACAAGATTTGTGGTGTATAAATTCATTTGGGTTCAGGTTTATGCTTCTGTCACATCCATTGTGACTTATTATTTCACCTGAAGGTATATTTTTGTGGGTGAGGACTTTGCTAAAACCTCCATCCTGAGCAGACGACGGTCTCCAGGACTCCCCAGGTTCATTTTCCTGTTGCTGCTTTATCTGCCCTGCAGACTTGAGGATGTCCCAAGGTTCAGCAGACTCCTCTGATGCAAATGTCGAAGGCTGTCCTGATACAATTCTCTGTGAACCTGTGTTTTCATGAACGTCCAGACTTGACAGAGACTCATTGTTTTCACTCTCATTATCTAAAATGACAATAATGACAGAAGAGGTTTGCTGAGCTAGAAAAAAAAAATTGTTCAAATACACTCAAGATAGTTACAAATTGGTACTTCATTTGGCCATTCAAAAAACGTGGCCTTTCAAATGAGAGGCATGAACCACAGAAGAACAAATCAGAACAAGCCAGTCCTGTGTGCAGTGGTCAGCAGAGAGGAGGCACACACCAGGATGAGCAGACGAAACAAAAGTCTGGGAAGAGGATCCTCACCAGCAAGAACAGGAAGGGAAGACAAAATAGGAACAAAGAAATGAGGGAGCAAGGGGGACTCTGTATTGAGGATGCACGGTAATGGTAGGCTTAGAGAAAGAAAGGGCGGCACCATCTTCAGAGAAGGCAGAGGAGGATGCAGATGGGTGAGAAGAGTCAAGTTATAAATGACTCTGGAATGTGCGTACATGGAGCTGAAAGCATCCACCCACCCATCTACCCACTTCTGGTTGGCCAAGAAAAGGACCGCCTACAGTATTGGAACTTCAGTCTAAGCAGGGAGGGCCCCTGTCCCTCCCTCTGAGGACATGACTTTACCGAAGTCCCATGGGAGAGGGCGTTCTGAAGAACCCTGAAGGTCCTTGGTGTCCGCTGGCTGGAGCTGGTCAGTCAATGCTGGTCCAGGAGGTGCAACCTTTCTCCTGAGTATTTCCTGCCCGTGCCCAGGGACTGGAACCTGAAAGAAATAAAGTGCATCTAGATTTATAAGAGCATCACTGTTGGAACTAAACATTTCCCCCAAACAAAGAGAACCTCCTGTAGGAACACAAAACCAGGGAAGGAAGAATCAAGCCTGACTCAGTGGTAAGATATGACACAGAAGCAAACAGAGAGCAAAGGAGACATAAATGCATCCCGGACGAGGAGCTCAGACCTCCCACTGTGGGACGCCATCCGTCCTGGAGGCCTTAGCTCACCCATCGTCTCTGTACCTGGAGCACAGCTTCACCGCTGCCTCTCTCATCTTCCAGCGCTGTCACCACCTCCTCCCCACTCCTCGGGCACTGCTCTCGCACCAGGGCCTGCAGCTCCACGGGCAGGATGCTCAGGAGCTGCTCCAGCACCAGCAGCTCCAGCATCTGCTCCTTGCTGTGCGTCTCAGGCTGTAGCCACAGCCCACAGAGCTCACGGAGCCGGCACAGTGCCTGGCGGGGCCCAGGTGCTTCGTGGTAGCTGAAATGCCTGAACAGCTGCCGGCACAGCTCCTGCTTGAGAAAATCACTTCTCTCTGAGCAAGCGTCCTGCCCCCAGACAAAATCTTCCTCCTTTACCTTCACTCTCAGAAGCCCTTCATCCTCCTGAGAATTCTGAGCTGCAGCTTTCTTGGACTCTGTCATCATCTTGGGTTTGAATGATCACAAAACCCACTTCTGCCTTGAGAAGGGTTTTTTTAGTTTCCTGGGAGGGGAAATACTATTATTGTCTGGAAGATGAAAGACCACATTATGAAACTAGTCATTTTTTAGTACACAAAGAAGTACTGGGCATTTACTATGTGTAAAAAGGCTGAAATGCCTGCTTTGGGAATACAACTGTTACAAAAATCTTACCTTAAAGCAGTTTAACACTCAAACTTAAAAGCAAGATAATTTAGGAAGTATTTGAAATCCTGCCCCTAGCATATGCCATAAGTTTGGCTCAAATAAACTCATAAAAAATAAAAAACCCGACACCAAGGTAATTTAAATGAGAAACATTTAAATATAATATAAATACAACATAATACTGAATGTTGACATGCTACATGCAGTTAAATTATTTCTAAGTTATACAGACAATAAGGACCAGGGAAAAATTATAGAAGAGCTTTGGAAAATTGCTTTTAAATGGCCAACACCACAGAGGAAAATGCGCTGCCCTTCTCACTGGGTGACCAAGGACCCCCTGCAGCCCTTGGGACAGTCTGAGAAGAGTCCCTGTCCCTGCCCTCCAGGGACATGCCCTCCCCGACGCCCAGGGCGAGGGGGGTCTGCAGGGGTGCACGGGCAGGGGGTGGCTGATGGCTGCTGCTCACACCGGGCATCGCCCACGGGGAAGTCCTGCCGGCAGGCGTTCCCTCACTTCGCACCCATTGAAAAGTCACCACTCAGGGAGCAATACCCGGGCCGCGGGGTCGGATGGTGCTTGTCCCACTGGCTCCGAGCTCACACACCAGCCACGCGCACCTCGCGAAGCCCGCGTCCGGGAGGAACCGCGAAGCCGACGCGCAGAGCGACGACCAGAGACCGCGGGACAGACCGCCGGGCCGGAGGGGGCGGAGTTGGCGTGGCGTCACCGCAGCCCCGTCCTCGGGACTCGCTTCCTCGTAATAATCGCGAGAACAATTGTCTACGGGAGGGCGGTGGCGACTCCGGCGAGAAGCAGGTGCTCGGGGCGCGCCGCGGGCGGAAGCGCGGAGCCAGAACAGGCATCACCCCCGCGGTGTCCCCACGGCCAGGCCACTCAGCGCCCGGGAGCCCGGAACCCGCGATGCAGGGCGGCCCGCCCCTCCCGGCCACGCCCACGCCCCTCGGGAGGCCCTAATGCGCGCTGAACTGTGGAAACCACAGGCTCCACTGCAAGGGGCGGGTGCGAATGCCCTCCGGACGACGAAACTAGTTTCACCTTCCCGAGGGAATACGGCGGGAGACAAAGGGCTGGTCACCCGGATCCCCAAGCCCGGACTTACCTTTTCCACGGGACTGGTTCCGATCGGACACTTCCGCTGGAAGGACAACGCCGCGTCACCTGGTCACTTTTCCGTCTGAGTCTGCGCGGAAGACACGCCAGCTTTGGACTGCGATCCCCAGAATCCTCCGGGGCTCCTCGGCGCTCGACTCCATTTCCCAGCATCTCGGTCCGGGTCCTGGCCTGGGGCTCCTGGCGCATGCGCAGGGCCTCCTCCGCAATCCGGGGCGGAGAATTCCAGCCCCGCCTGACGGGCACCGCGCTCACGTCACCTTTGCAAAGCCTCCCTGGATTTTCCCGGACCCCCGACTAATCCCCAAGCCCTGGAACAACGGGATTAGTTACAACCCCTGCCTTTCCTCGTATAACTTTAGTTTTACTTTGTATCTTTTTTATCTGTCATTGTTCTGATAATGTGTCTAAGTGTTTACAGGTTTTCAACTTCAAATTCACCATTATGCAAAGCAAATTCACCCTTTTGCAAAATTCTCCGTTTCTTCCAGTATTTTTTTGCGAAGGTCATTTGGAGGCTGTGTGTTCACATCCTCCCATTGTCTCTGTTGCTATAAACTCTTGCTCTGAACCGTCCCTGGTGGACTGAATATTTTTTCTTTTCAGCTACCCCCTTTCTTGTTTCTTTTCTGCACTTTCAACTTACTGCGAGAGCATTCCTTTCCCTCCAGTCTATAGCCATGTCCTTTCTCTTGTTAAAGATCATTCATTATCTTCTGACCTTCCACCCACCTACAGGCTTTCCACGTCAAATTCATCCTTTTGCAAAGCTAATTTACGCTTTTGCAAAGCAAAATTTTCTACTAAAATAATTTCAACAGCTTTGTAGTAAAAATAAATCTTAACCAAAGTTGTTAAATTTTTTATTGCATGAATACTGGCATAGTAATAAACATAAAATACTTTTTATCGTCAGAAATATTATTTACTTATGTCCCTTATAATGGTTCTCCCGCCACCACTTGTAGCAATTTCATATAGGTATTCATAAAGTAATTGGCACTTCCTTCAAACCATGCACGTTTAAAGGATGTTATTGATCATTCTGTAGCGACTATTACTCCAGAAGATTGTCACAATTGCCTGACAACATTAAGAGTTTACTTGAGGTATGTGGGTGTATATTTACAATGAAACTGAGTTTTATCCAGCTGCATTAGGAGCGGCACGGGGTTGACAAGTTGTGATACTGCAAATGTTGGCTAAGGAAGGCAAAGAAGGATAGTATTGGGGCAAGTAAGAAAAAGTGGTAAACTCAATGGGTGGGAGAGGTGGGATGGTAAAGAGTAAGTCAGCCGGGAAAATAAAAGTTGTTGCTTGACAGGGATGTTAGAAACTGGGATTATGAAGAGGATTCAGTTGGTCAAGTCAGAAGTTTAAGCATTACCCATGAGTCAGTCCTTTTCCTCATTGTTTGCATGGGATAAATACTCCGTGGGTTATCCTCCTCGTGTCTCGATATTTTTTGAATATGTTTTTACTTTCCATTGCCACGGCTCACCCATGTTACTACAGTGATTTCCTAATTTCTCTCTTAGCCACAAGCCTGTTCCCCTCAAATTTATTCCCACATGCCAGTGCTAATGCTGGTATAAAAGTGTAAGTCTGTTAATGGCATGTCCCAGTTTCAACGAGAGCAGGGACTCACTTCTGCCCAAGCCCCCCACTGCAATCATTGTAAAGTTTAAACTGTTAATAGGGCTCACAGCTCCCGGCAAAATCACCCCAACCAATGAAAAACTTTCTTCACATTTTATTTTATTTGAGATTTATCTGCTTAGGCATTTTCTGTACTGTAATATGTACCTTTGCATGAACAGACCATAGGGCACTAATCAAGTCTCTTACTGATATCCATTTAGGTGCTTTTCAATTCTCTGCTATTACAAGTAAAGCAAACATAACATTCTAGTTAACTCTTGAGTATATGTGGGAGACGTTTTCTATATGTATGAAATTTATCAGACACAGTGATGAGGAAAATAAAATATGGGGGGGAGGAGGGGAAGACTTAGCAGCCTGACTCTGTACCTAGTTAATCAATATCCCTAATGCACATTCTTATTAGCCTGTAATCAAGTCACTGCCCCTTCCTTAATTATCTGGTCTTGCAAGACCTATTGACCTAAATACTCACATTTTACTCATTAAACCATAACCATAACCAACCCCCGGGTTGGGTTATCAGCCCTGGTGCCAGGCCAGGCCTTTGGGTGTGGTCTCACAGCCCCCATCCCAGCACACGAGGCTTTTTGCAAAGCCTCCAGAAGGTCTGGAAGTCTGAACCATATTTGAGGGACAAAGAAAACCAAAGGGTGAAAAGGGAAAGCTTCCTCACTATTGACTCGCTCAGGATTTGGACACAGGCTCCCCTGAGTCACGGTCCTAGTGCATCTAGACATGAATGAGTTTTCCTGTGTATCTGAGCACTCCTGTGTATTGTTCAGTCACCTGGTAAATTCTGCAACAACAGTATATGTGAGTCTTCAAGTTTATTATATATCACCTGTTTTGAGAGATTTATATTTCTCTATTTTATTTTTAAATTACATATACATACTGGTCAAAAACTAAGAAATGTGTACTAATGGTAGAGACACATGAAGAAGAAATATGGTATAATCACCACTTTATTGTCCAAATGAATCAATACTTTTGCTCTCAGAATTTACTCCTTCAAAAATTACTTATTTCTATTTTTGTTTCAAAATGTCCTTTGAAAAATGTAGTGAGTCTTTCCAGACCTTCTTTACTGTACTCTATACATTAACTGATCAACAAATATTGATGACCTATGTGTGAACACTTTGCAAGCAGCAGGGCAGTGAACACAATACTGATGGGAAGTGAAAACATCAGAGTGGAAGCAAGGAGCCACTAACAAACACAAGAGACTGAGAAATAGTGTCCCTGGGAGAGACCAGCTCTTCTCCATGCTCCAGCTAACTCCCTGCTGGGTAAAATGCCATCCTGACAGGAGGGATGACGCTCCAGGGATTTGGGAAAGTTGGGCTTTGGTGGTGCAGAAGATACTGCCGGGTGAACCCCAGGGTGGTTGAGCAGCTCTGAGGCTGACTGCTGCCTGCCCCACTCACTCCCAGGACAATCAGCCCTTAATCAAGGGTCTTCCTCTGAGACAGATAACCCCAGAGATTGCTGCATTTTATGAACTATAGTGAAACCCATCAGGAACTTTTAATCGCTGAACACCTGCAGAGTACAGGTTAATGAGTTCTACTCTTCTCAGGGCGAGTTTCCCGGTGGACATGGAGAAGACAAGCTGGTTTTATTTGCAGCTCCTTGTTAATCATTATTCTAATGAGATCTCTACGGTTTTGTTCTTCCAAGTTCCCTAAAGAACTGCAGAAGTTGAAAATTGCTCTTCTGACACCTTAGTTGTAGATACTACTCACTGACTACATCATCCACAATCTCTTAGGACTCCCCACAATTACCCAGAGGAAATCAATGAGTCAACGTGACCATAGTTCAATTTTACCAGAAAGCAGAAATGGCCCTAAGAAAAACTGCTTTTGTCAGTAGAGCCAAGCATTTCTCATTACTCAGTTTATCCAATCTAAATTCCATCCATCCTTTTTCATCCCTATAACCTAACTGTCAGAGTAGATAGGTCAATTGTTCAATGAACGGACAGACAGACTCTGTTTTCTTTTCACTTAGAAAATGTGTGTGTGTGTGTGTGTGTGTGTGTGTGTGTGTGTGTGAGAGAGAGAGAGAGAGAGAGAGAGAGAGAGAGAGAGAGAATCAATTCCCTGCATGTTCTTCTTAGTTATTTACATTAATTAATTTTATGTAAATACAAAGAACTGCAAACCATTTAAAAGTAAAAACAAAGTACTGTTATACCTGGTCTTCCAAACTTATGTGCACCATTACATTGCAAAAAAGCAAAAAGGAAGTTAAGCTAATTAGTTTAATTTTTAAAACCCTAGTAGTTTGTGTAAACATGCTTTTGGTAGTACTGTGTCTACAGGTTCCATTTGAGCCTCTTGCAGAATTTACCAGGCAGCTGGAAAATGCACGAGTACTCAGAGATTCAGATAAAACCCTTTATTTAAAGCAGCACTGCTGCCAAGACCGGTTTGGCTCAGTGGATAGAGCGTTGGCCTCTGGACTGAAAGGTCCCGGTTTCAATTCCGATCAAGCACATGTACCTTGGTTGTGGGCACATCCCCGGTGGGGGTGGTGCAAGAGGCAGCTGATCGATGATTCTCTCTCATCGATGTTTCTAACTCTCATCACCCCTTTCTTCCTCTCTGTAAAAAATCAATAAGATATATTTTTAAAAATAAATAAATAAAGCAGCAGTGCTGGCCCAAACTTCTCTCATGATGAGAATCGCCTGGTGGAGTTGTTAAAATATAGATTCCTGAACTAACTACTTAAGTATACAATTTTACCTATATGTTCCCAAAAATTCTAGTTTAACACTTCTTAGTTGGGATTCAGGAATCTGTATTTTAGCAACTCTATCAGGTGATTCTCATCATGAGAGAAGTTTGGGAAACACTGCCCTAGACCATGAGATTACTCCTTGTATATATTTCTAATTTTCTTTGTTTCCTAACTACCGGGATTTTGTGTCCGGCTTTCACAGCCCCTTCTGAGTCAGTAGGA